ATTTAATCCAGAAAGGTTGGAGTAGGAAAATTGTTTCTAGTTCAAAACCTAAATTTTCTGGGTTAAAAATTTTAGGTTTTAACTTAAGGGTTGGAGATGGTCTTAGAATTATTTTCTTTGGTTGGGAAAATATAGGATCCTTAGAATAAATAAAATGCACCAGGAAAGTCTAATCTGGGTCAAAAGAAAAACAACTAAACTTTTAGTTACTCTCCTCAACATTGATCATTCTTTTATGAATTATGAGTAACTATTCTTACTTGGAATGTGTACAAAACATTATCAATCTGAAATATTCAAAAAGTGAAGTCCATCTGAATGTGTGCTCGAACTCTAACTACTGGTAACTCAACTCTTCAATTAGAGCATTCAAATCAAAGCGTGACGATCCTCCTTTCTAAACAGCCCTCTTTGCCTGCACTGCAAGTTCCCTAGCTCTGCTTCTCATTTCCTGTGCTTCCTCATCCACCATAATCCTCCTCACAGCCTTCTCAACGGCTTCCTTCCTCCGGTATCCCCCACAACCATAATCCATTTCTGAGCACCAACTCCAACACCATTTTTCAACACTTGGGTCACCAGCTTCTCGTTGTAAAACTGCTCCCCCAACACCGGCCACTTCACCATCGGCAACCCGGCAGCGATCCCTTCCAACGTCGAGTTCCACCCACAGTGAGTCACAAACCCGCCAACTGCCCCATGATCAAGAATCAGAACCTGTGGGGCCCACCCTCTTATGATTAGTCCATTTCTTTCCATCCGATCCTCAAACCCTTCTGGCAGCCAATCCTCTTTCTCCACGTCATCTTGTCCCGTCCTCACAACCCAAATGAAGTCCCGCCCAGAAGCCTCAAGCCCCATTGCAATCTCCTTGAGCTGAGAGGCATTGAATTTAGCCACGCTTCCAAAACACACATAAACAACTGAATTAGGTTCTTTCGAATCAAGCCATTTCAAGAAATCGTACTCGCTGATAGAAGCTGCTTTTCCTCAGTGTTTTTTCTTCATTGTTTCTATGGCATAGAGAAACGGCGCCAATATGCCAAGCTTTCAATCCAAGCACGTTTCTGTAATAATCTGCATACACCGATTCAAGCACATAGAAACTGTTCACAACAATTCCGTAGCTCATCTTCTCAGCTTCCTTGGCCCGTTTGAGCATCCGGTTCAAATCGTTTTCGATATTTTCCTTGACATAATCAGGCACTTGGGCTCTTGTCATCGTAATCTCACCAGGAAAATCAGGAATCACGAAAGTGTCCAAATCCGACGAAGTGTTCTTGAGCGGCTCATACTTTCTCACAATATCTGAGGCAGCCATGGCAAAGAAACTAGTGACATGAAAAATTAGCCTTGGAATATCAAACTTTGCAGCAGCATCAGTTGCCCAAGGAAAAAGCATGTCTGCCACAAGGCAACTAAGGTTTTCTTCGAGCGGAAGCTGCTCTAGTGATTCTTGGAGAAGGCTTGTTGCTTTGAGAAAATTAGTGCTTAATTCTGGTGAGGGGAGTGAGTCGAGATTCTCACACCCTTCTGGCAGACCGGCTTCTACAGAAGGGAACTTGATGGTTTTGATTTTGACTTCGACGCCGCCGGAGTAGGTTTTACTTGATGGGTGGCTTTAGAGAATATTGGGGCGTTTAGCGGAGTGGTGACTATGGTGGTTTTTAATCCTTGGGATGCAAAGAGCTTGGCCATGTCGGAGATCGGTACCATGTGGCCGTGAGCCATGAAAAGGAAGAAACAGATGAGGAAATCACGGTTTTCGGTACCCATGATTATTGTGATTTAAAAATGGAGATGGATGAAGTAAAGTCTTAGGATAATAGAAAGGATAATCTGCGGTGGTGGTATCTTATTGTTTGTTTGAAACACATGAAAGGTCAAATATATAGAACTTCTATATATTCTTCCCACTATTGACAGAAGGAGAAAAGTTTTCACCCTCAATTGTACATGTCAGCCGGTATGTCATGTACAGCAACGATCGGTTACATGAGTGGACATATAATGACATTTTGAGTAATTTTTCAGGAAAATGTTAAAGGGGACTTTCTCTTAGGATCATGTAGAAACAATGAGATACCTATGCTGCACACGAGTTCATTGATTTCAGTTTCCATCCAAATTGTCAACCTAAATGAAAAAGCAACTTCAGAGATTCCTCACTCTAAATAATATTGTTATCAGACATATTTACTCTTACGAGTCGTTGGATAATTATTTCAAATTTCAATTTTCTTAAGTTTTAAAAATTTGGCTATGAGGTTTTACTATTTTTAAGTGAAAATTGAAAATAGTTATCAAATAAGATTTCAGGCTTCAATTTTCAAAAGAGCAAAAACTGAAAATTAAAAACGAAACAGTTACTAAATAGTCAATATTACACTTTTAGTTTACAAATATCAACCCGTTTCACTCATATTATAAGTTATAACAATATTTCTATAATAACATTAAGTATTTTTATGACAAATGGTCCCTGAAATTGACAATCACCATCAAAATGGTCCCTGAAATTGAAAATCAATCAATGTAGTCCCTGAAAATAGGTTCGCAAATCAATGTGCTCCTTCCATCACAATTCTGTTAAAAATTTTGTTAAGTGTTAATGTGGCATATAAATGGACCCCATAAGTCATTTTTTCTCACAAATAGTCCTTGAAATTGACCCCCAATATCAAAATGGTCCCTGAAATTGACTCGCAACATCAAAATGGTCTTTGAAATTGAAAATTGAACAATGTAGTCACCCAAGTAAATGTCTCAAATCAATGTAGTCCTTCTGTTACAATTCTATCAAAAATTCTGTTATATGCTAATGTGACACATAAATGGGTCACACAAATCTAATTAAATTAAAAAAAAAATTACAAATAGGCTTAATAATTTAATAGTTAATAAAAAAAAGGTCAACCCAAAACCCAGTCCTACAATCACCTCCAATCCCAATCCACATTTCTCTACCTCATTTGTCTCTATTCTCTAAAAAATAATCTCGATACACCCATTTTTACACACTTCGACACTCTTCACTAAGTTGAACCTGGATCGAGATCACCCTTGGTGATAGCTTGGCCCATTGGCAACGACTATTAGGACGTCACCGTTAACATTTAGGCGATCAACATCCTCACAACCTTAATCTTAGATATCTTGTTTGGCGTTTCCCTAGTGGTCTGGTGATGCAAAGAACGACGAGGTCTGCCTTGAGATAATGAGGTTATAATCGAGGTGCGTCCATTGTTGGTTGAAAACTATTTCCACACCCCCTATTAGGCCTTGGTTAAGCTTTATGCCCTCGAGAATTTATGGAAGGGATCTCTCTTCGAAGTAAGCCCCTACTATAAGAAAAAAAAAATATCATTATGCAAAAAGGTATTTAGACAATTTTTTTTAATTAATTATTAAACCCACATCAACATATAACAATTTTTTTTACAGAATTGTAGCGGAATAATCATATTGATTTGCAACACCTATTTTCAAGGATTACATTGATTGATTTTCAATTTCAAGGACCATACAGATGGTGTCAGTCAATTTCAAGGACCATCTTGATGGTTTGGGTCAATTTCAGGGATCATTTGTGATAAAAACCCGTAAATGTTGTGGGGCCCATTTATATGCCACATCAGCACTTAACGGAATTTTTAACAGAATTTTAACGGAATGACCACATTGATTTACAACATCTATTTTTAGAGACTACATTAATTAATTTTTAATTTCAAAAATTATTTTGATAGTGATAGTCAATTTCAGAGACTATTTGTGGTAAAAATCTTAACATTAAAGTAAAACATCGCACCTGAATTGTAAAGTTTGCAACACTTCAACGTTCAACGAGGTGAGTTGCACGGTCAACCAAGGAAGATACAAGCCATACATGAGTCTTGATGCTTGCATAATTTTGGAATCTTGTAAGTGACATTATTACTCATATCAGAGTAGACCTTTCAAGGAGTCAAAAGTCCACAAAACAACAAGAGCAAGTAGGGAAAAACTATAATTAACATTTTTTCTTCTTCTTACACAATCGTCTTAAATTATACATATTATCTTTGTTTGAATTTTTAATCTGATAATTAAAAATTACAAATGGTAGATAGAACGAGAAAAAGAATCAGTTCAAAAATTATTGAGGGTGCTATATTGCACAAAAAGCATTATGCTATAAGCATATTTTACTGAACAATTATAAGAGACAGATAGAAAGATGGTTGGTAACTCATAGAGAAAAGAGAAAGATGTATAATTATAAGGTGTGTGGTATTCCACCCCATTGTGCCTTTATTTATAGTAGTAAAGAAGGTAAATTCCTTACCCCAATATGATTACAACTCTAATCTTATAATATCTAAAGTCTAAGATATTGTAGAATAAAATGAGGATATCTCTAGATATGGTAAGATTTACACAATCACATTCATAATCTAATATGAATGCAACACTTCCCCTTAAATGTGTAAATACTTAAGAAAATGGCGCATCAGCGATGAAGTAAGTTCAGTTGATGAAGTCATTGGCACAATAAGCGAATGCAAGTTTCAAATCAACGAAAGAATGCATAAAAGGTAAAACTCACAAAACCTCGCTATGGTAAAACCCAAGGTGGGATAAAAACTCATAGACTAAGGAGACAAGTGAGAAGTTGAATTAAATCAAAACTAAATGTCTTCTGGACGCAACACTAGTAGAAAAAACACTTCGCGCGACGTACGTACCTTCGTCACTCAAAGTCAAAAATCGTTGCTTGAAAATAGCGCAATGAAACCTTCGTCGCACGCTAACGATCATGCCAAGACAGTGACAGTAGGGTTTGCGCGATGAAGAAGAAATATACGTCGCGCAAAGACGCAAAGACAGCTTTGCACGATGTAGGACCTGCGTAGCGAAAAGCCACTCTTCGTCTAGCAAACCCTTTTTTTTTTTTTGGCAAAAATATTTTTTATTTAATTTTTAATAAATATTGTAATTAAATTCTAAACAATAATTAATAAACCAAGAAAAAGTATTTAATTATAAAATATATAAAAATGTACATACAAGATGTCCGAATAAAAAGAAAAAACAACAAGAAGTAATCTTCTAAAGTAAACAACAAAACAATGAGATATACAAAGAAATATCAAACTATTCAGAGACCTCCAACAAACAAGGACATTGTCACTTGAAGACTTCACATTTTTTGAACACCTCCAAACAAAGGACCTTGAGAGCGAACTATTGCCCCTAATGCTTGAGCCTTAGCAATTATTGCCTCTCGCTCTATCTACATGGACATAAGCATACGGATCAAGAAAAAAAATTTGTACTTGTATAGGTAGAACTCTTGAAAAATTATATTAAGGGGGGGGTCCTTTGAGAAAAGATAAACACATGATAGATTATGAACCTGCTAAACAGCCATGGATTCAATTCTACTAGCCCCAAATACCAGAGAACATATATTACTATAGGTTTCCCGGTATGTATAGACTGCACGAAAACAAATGCAAGGCTTGAAATTTCATAATGAGACATTAAACAGTAGTATTGTGAGCAATAAGAAAGAAAAACAAGCACATCCAAGCAATTTTCATGCTTAATATTTGTTTAGTAGAACGTCTCTCATTGTAGAATCTTTAAAGCAAGTTAATCATATAATTACCGTACTGCAGGGATGAAGTTATGTTGGTGATAGGCTACTATCAATAGTTATACCTTACGAAGAGAGTGGCTGGTATGATAGACAAATGTGGGTAAAGCCACCTGATATTAGCACCCTTCACCTTATCTTTTCTCAGTTAGGAAGGATCAAGGATGAAGTCCCTCTGGAAATGTCAACCTTCAAAGTTTAATCCACATATCTTATTCAAGTATTCAACTGAAGAAGGCTACTTAGAATAATCAAGATATGATCAAATTCAAAGAAATTAACTAATCACATAAGCCTCAACGTTCAATGATATTAACTGATCACATAAGCCTTAACGTTAATGCATATATTACCTCTAAATCAAAACCTCAAAAATTTGATTATGATATGGAAATTGTATCCTGTGGCTTATCACTAGAGCTTAATACTCGAACAAAGTTTCTGAGAGTCGGACTATGTCCTCTGTGTGGTGTATATGTGCATATGTATGTCAAATATTAATTGAGAAGGGTCATTGGAGACAGTGCAAATTTGAAGATATCTAAAATTGGTCATGAGGCAACAAAGCTACATAACTCTTGACCTTTAACTACTTAAAACCAGCAATTGAAAGCCCCAAATTTTTATTCTGTTCTAATATTAATAACTGAGATGCAAAATCATAGAAAATTTATGCTAAAACATTATTTCTTATCCATGTTGTATCAAAGAGATCAGCAAAACCGTATTTGAAGGATTCACTTAACCGATAGCTTAAATTAAGACAACGAAGAAAACCACCTGAGAGCAACAACCTATACTGGAAGATAAAATCAATGAACCAACACACCACCTCCAAATCTTGTAGCTTCGTCAATATAATCGATGCACTCATCAAAGTCCTGTAGATGAATAGCAAATGATAAGTCCTCATAATGGGGTTATTTAAATGAGTGTATTATGCACTTACACATGGATGGAAATTGATGTATAAGCACTGATGCATTTATCTGGGTTGAAAATTAAAACTAGATTGATCAGGCAGACACGAGAAGGTGCAAAGACTAGTTTATCCACAAATCTAGACAAGCAATGGACAAATCTAGAGGTAAGCAGTCAGCCACAAGGTATTCCTAAGTTCTAAGAACCAAACACATAAACCACACAGGCAAAACATCATTGAACAAAACGAAGGTTGACCTAAAAAAATTCTAACTGCGATAAATGGGTATATCAATGTTAAATTAAAGTCTGATTCGGCTATACGTCAGACACGCTTATAAAACTGGTCATAAAGGGGCATAAGATACTGCAAGATAATAGCACAATAGGCCATTGCTATTTCGACTACATATGCTTTTTTTTCTCTCATAAATTACAATTCTAGGCTTGGCTATAGGTTTAAGCCTTCACTAAAAATTCTAGATATATGCTAATGTTTCATAATTTACCAATTTGGAAAGAGATCCAAGGGTAGCACATGAATGGAGATTAAAACACATGCATATATGATAAGACATCCAATCCCTGCAGAAGAAAGATCAATACAAAACATATTTGACTATTTGACATGACTATCATTAGACTCTTCTTACGATACTGTAAAGCATCCAGCTTCAGCAACAATCTTCTTTTCTTAAACTTCATATAAAAAAGAAAAACCATGTGCTATTCTTATAAGCATGAATGCAGCAGAGTTCTTAAACCCACAAGGTTTTTTAACTTAATCAGATTGAACTTCTTAACCATAAAGTGAAACCTATAGTGTTTAGTAACTGCCATTTTGAAATGTAAGTAAGATGATCCAAAACTGATTAATCTCAAAGGTAAGAGATCATGGAGATAAGGAAAAATGGGAAGTGATGAAACTATGTTACCTAAAACAAAAAGAGGATGACTCAATTGTTTCTCTTCCCTCTTCTTCCGCAATAGCACCGCTAATTTCTTACTTTAATGATACTCAAGCAGCAACTCAACTACATAGAATATTAAGCTAAATTAGCAGAATATAATAATCCGCATTTGGGCATTTTGCTTTAAGCCATACAGTACAAAAATTATGCTAAAAGTACAAAACAATGAACTTCTAAGTAAATCAGAAAGCAAAAAACCCACATCCGAAAGTACCCAGAAGCTAAAATGAGAGAAAGAATGAGAAGGGGTATTTATATGTACTTGTGTTGACTACAAAAATTACAAAACCTACGTGGCGCGCAGGCCGAGTAACTAATGAGCTAACTACGTCCTTCGGTTGAATGCGGGGCGTGCCAACTCGTCGGCCGAGCTCGGCCGAAGAGTAAAATGTGATGTCGCGTTGGGTGCGCTGTCGACTTCTGTATCTTGCGATTGCGACCGAGGAAGGAACGCTCTCGGTCTCTGGGTTCTATAGCCTGAAGACAAGGCTACTAATTCTACGGAGTTCACAGGTCGTCAGACCCTGATTCGGTCACTGTGATTATATTCGTAAGAGTATAAGCACGCTGAATCGAGACCAAACTATATGGGCACAAGTACTCGAATGTGATGTACGTCTTGATGGTAAACGTAGTTCGGCCGTCGGAATGCCGAACCCTAAAACTTACTTGCAAGTATCCAATCATAAACTCACTCGACGTCCAATGCGCCGAGCAATGCAATTCGTAACACCCAACTATGCCGAAAAGGCTTAGTTAGATGACCTCCACCAACAAAGGTTCGAAAACCCTTCTCGGCCGAGACTTAGATAAATAATCGGTCGACCTCGACGCAGTGCAATGCTGTTTATCCAAACTGAAGGTGCTCACCGGTTGCTTCCACAGTGCTGTTTATCCAAACTGAAGGTGTGTCGGCAGGAAAAGAAAAGGAAAAATCTCAAGGTGTTTGAGAGGTTTTGCGCAGGGCAATTGTATGCTGATCGTGAAGGGTCCTTTCTATTGCGTAATTTCTTGTATTTATAGCACCTCGCTCCTTGATTCCCATTCTGATTTGGATTGGGAGTCCTTGTCGCATCTCACCTTTAACTCGAACAATCCTAGTCCTACTGGGATTCTGAATTCTCCTATTTTTTTAAGCTTTATCCCTTGCCGGTCGAGAATCCTGGTCGCATCAGGATTTCCTCGACCTTTCCTCTTTCGTCTGGACTACTTAAGATAGGATCTGGCCGACCCTGCCAGCTGGCCCGGGTTTCATTATTTGGCCCATAGCATGTGTCATTACCTTGGGCCGAGCACATCTCGCTGCTCCGGCCAATCATAATATTTTAGGCCCAAACAACTTGTCATTGTTTCAATCCATTTTTTGAGCAGCAGTAGTAGCAATAGCAGCAACAACTCAACCGTCACCGCCCAAATTCCAGACCCTCTTTGCCTTCTCTCTTTACACACGGACTCTTTGTCTTGGGTGGAGAATTAAATCGAAAAACCCATCTGCCAAATTAAAGGAGAAGAGAGCAAGGAATTGACGCTTTGGATTTGAGAACATATATACGGAGAAAACTTTGAAAGATAGAGAGATAAACCAAAAAATCAAACATGAGAATCAAATGGCTTACCAACTGGGTAGGTTTTTTTATTTCTTATGCAGTTATATGAGCAATCAATATCTAAGTTGTGCATTCAATTGCTCACCTCCACTCACATTCTTGTCTACCTTTTTTATGCAATTGAACATCAGCGCCGCTAACGACGCAAATATGCCTGCAAAAAAAATCCCAATTCGCAAACACAAATAGAAAACCCTAGAAATCTAAAACAATGTAGAAATAGAATTTGGGGTTCGGGTCAGACCTTGAAATATCCAAGAACGATGTGAACTAGCTGAAAACAATTCCCTTTGGAAACCCATCCTTTTCAACCATGGATCTGATTTCTTCCCTCTACAACACAATTAATTGCACAATCATTAAATTAAAAATGCAAATAATGAGATTGAATGTGTGACCCTGAAGAGGACATCGAAATTGACGGCAGCACAAGCTTGGCCAAGATGGAGGCATGTGAAATTTTTTTGGATGAAGACAAAAATAGAGAGAAATCGAGAGATAGTGTTGGGAATGAGAGACAAGGAGTTTGAGAGAGTTAGTGACACTACTACAAAAGGACCTTATAGTGTCAGTTGTTGCGTCGGTTTAATATAATATAGTGGCGAAAAAGAGACTTGCGACACCCACTGAAGATGACGTCGTATTCACTGTCGCTTATAAGCGTCATAAAATTTCTATATCGCTTTTAAACCGACATAAAAATTTAATGTCGCTTATAATCGACACATATTTTAATATTTTTAAGTACTGGCATTGCTTTAAATAAAATAGTGTCGCTTTTAAGCGACATAAATTATGGGTGTCGCTTATAGGCGACACTAATTCTTGTTTTTAAATATTTTAAAGCCTGCGTCGGTTCTAAGCGACATATATTTTATTTTTTTAAATATTTTGAAACCCGGTGTCGGTTGTAAGCGACAGATTGATGGTCTTTATATCCTCTCCCCCGTGTTTTTTTTTCTTCTCTTGCACTTTTCTTATTCGTTCTTCCAATTTACAAAGCATCCCCGTGTTCTCTCTCTTTCACCTTTCTTATTTGGTCTTCCAACTTCATTTGTTCCTTCTTCACAACAGTAAGTTTTTCTTGCTTATAATATTTTTATTTTCTCCTCTTATGTTTAATTTTTAGTTACAATTTATTTTTGTTGGAAATTTATTTGAGCTGGTTGAGTACATAAAGAATTGTTGACATCGGAATTCTTCAACAAATCAGGTTTGTATCACTAACTTCTTTAATTTTTAAATTGTATAATACACAAGTTTATTTATTTAAAAATTATAATTTAAGCACTTAGATAAATTTCTACTATTTTTGTTAAATTAATAAAAATTTAGTCGAATTAATTAATTTTGTCACTTGAATTGTTATGAGAAAATGGAATGAATAATATTTATAAGCATTTATGTTAAATTAACAATATTAAATATAACATAAACTTATAATATTTAGTAATATAAGAATATATTATGTTAAATTAATTTTTTTTTGCACTCTAATTGTTATTGACACACCCCAACCGAGATCAGGGCATGCTGGCCGTCACGTGGAAGTGACGTAGCCATGTGCACAGTGCGGAAGCTAAAGAAAGTAATGTAAAAGTACGAATAATTTAAAACTAGCATACAATAAGTGACAATAAGAGTGCTAGCGTAAGTGAGACGCTGAATTCAGAGCATAAAGACTACAGCAGTCCAAAGAAAAGTTACGACGATAGTACACCCGAAGATGACCCTACACTGGTGAGTGTCTGTTAGAAATGCCGAGACGCCCTCTGGGAAAACCACCGAACCCGCTAAGCTACTAGAACCTGGAGGGGCGCAAAACAAAAGTGTGAGTGGGCAAAAACAAAACTCTTTAAAAACCATTTAGTAAAATACATTCTAACCCCTCGCCGTAAAACCTGTATACTTCTCAGAAAATAAACACATATACGTATGTATAAATATGCCAATCATGCTCACGAATATGCCATGTCAAAGCCTCAGAATGAAATGCAGGTGCTCAGGTATAAATCACATCAATAGCATAACATCTGACAGCCAGAGTCCCCTAAGTGACCTGTACGGCTGAATCTAGAGCTCAAATCTCAATCTCAATAACTAAACCTGCCCACGAGTCGGAACCACCTATAGTGGTCTGTACGACAGGCCTAGGTGTAATACATATAAACGCTCTAGTGCTACGATCACGTGAAGGCTGTGCGAATAATCGCGGGTCACCTACGAGTCGGAACCACCTATAGTGGTCTGTACGACAGGACTGTGCACCTAACTTGGATCCAAGCTGAGCGTATGGTGCAGGAGGTGAACAACACGTGAAGGACTGTGCCCTACTCTGGGCGGGAGCACTAACACCGGGGGTGCAGGTTATGAGCTCTCTAAGTATCTCGAACCACTATTTAATGCAATTGTTAAATAACGCTTACCTGGCACTTACCTGTGCCTCCACAGCACCAAATATGCATATGTATATGTATGCCACTACTAATGCATGCAATGGTGCATAAACGATAATAATATGGTGCATGGCATAAACAATTAACCCTTTTTAAACAATTTCTGGGAAAATAAACGTATATAGGTGAATACGGAAAACCAAAAGCCCACTCACTGGTATGTGGAAGGGTCGTAGCCCCCCTGCCTCGAGTGTGCATGCTCGTCCTCGGGATAGGAATCACCTATATGCGAATTAAGTATAAAAACTTTAATTTTAAAGCACATAACCTTCCGTTCAAAATAACTTCTCATACATTGCTCAAAATGGACAAATGAATATACCAACGTGCTCTACACAACCTCAGGATCACAACCATATTTTTAGAAAAATTTTCCTCCGCCGCACGCGCCGCCACGCGCCGGCCAAGGCACGGCCACATGTGCCGGCCACGCGTAGGCACGTGTGGCGCACACTAATGGCGTCAACTGACGCCAGAATCCTGACGGAATATTCCGTCACCTTCTCCGGCGAGACTCCGGCGCCGTCGCCGGTACCGTCGCCGGAAAACCTGCAACTTAGGTTTTCTCGCTCATTTTTCCACCATTTTTCACGTTTCTTGCACCAAAATGAAGATTAGGACTAGTAGAACACGATCCTACAAGTTTTAAAGCCTAAAAACTACTAAATCAAACCTGTCACTAACCTCCAAAATCGACCAAGTTTGAACAGGGCAATCCCGACGTCCAAAATCGTCCAACAAAGCACTCCCAAGCTCCTGGGAACCTCCCAAAGACATCTACGAGCTTAAAAATTCCAAAAACATGCAAGAATGAGTTTGCATGAATAGTGCTCAAATCGGAAAACCTCGAATCGACGTGAAAATGGTGGTTTCCCTACCTGAAAATGGTACGTCTGTGTTCCCCTCGACCTCACGATCACGATTGCACCCTTGGTTTCCTCGATCTGCTAAGGTTTAAGTATGTTTGTGTGTGGTCCGTACATATATGGTGAAAAGGAAAGGGAAAGGGAAAGGGAAACATGGGAGAGAGACAGGGAAAGAGTCAGAGAGAGTGTAAGTGTGAGAGTGTGTGTGTGTGTAGCCCAACACATGCCCACACCACACGAAACAACCACTAAACGTAAACGAAATGAACTAGGGGCAAAGTTGTAATTTCACACATACGTTTCCGATAATTCCGGGACGGGATGTCACAGTTATTTTGATAACTTTTGGTTGTTATTTACTAGTATGGATTAGATGAGCATAATTTGAATTGTTATGAGAAAATGGAATGAATAATATTTATAAGCATTTATGTTAAATTAACAATATTAAATATAACCTAAACTTATAATATTTAGGAATATAAGAATATATTATGTTAAATTAATTTTTTTTTTGCACTCTAATTGTTATTTTAATTTGTTGTTATTTTGATAACTTTGATAACTTTTGGTTGTTATTTATTAGAATGGATTAGATGAGCATAATTTTGATAACTTTTTGTTGTTATTTTAATTTTTTTTTTACTATAATAGGTGTTGAAAATTAAAAGATTGCAATCGTGATAGAGTTCGAGGGGTGAAAGATAGAAATTGAAAATTCTGATAGTTATGCCTACATGATAGGGATTAGATTGTAGGCATCTTAGTGTCAACGTAATATGCCTTCGTAAAGTGGTAAAACATGGACAAGAGTTGGTTGACAATACCCCGAAATTTTGAAGCGTATACAATTGGAATTAATTTGTTTTTGGATCAAGCAGTTGCAAATGGTGTTGGTCCTGATAAGTTTAGATGTCCTTGCAAAAGATGTTGTAATCGATATACTTTTGTTAGGAACACTATTGTTGAACATCTCATATTGTATGATATGGATAAAGATTATAAAAACGCTTGTTGGCGACATCATGGCGAGCAAAACATTGGAGAGCAAAGTGTGGCAATTGGAGAAGAAGAAACAGGAGATGAGATGATTGGCATGCATGATTTTCTTAATGATGTATTTGTCCAACCATTAACAGAAGAAGGTGTTGGGCCATCTACTGAACCCCCTATTGGGGAAGGGCGTCTAGAAGAGGTGCAGACTTTTTTTAAGTTGCTTGAAGAGGCAGATCAAGATTTGTGGCCAGGTTGTAAGGAGTTTAAGAAATTGGAAACAGTTGTAAGACTGTATCAGATCAAGTGTTTAGTGGGAATGCCTAACGAGATCTTCACCACTTTACTGGAGTTAATTAAAAGAATGTTACCTGAAGGGGATTGTTTGCCTGAATCCTGTTATAAGGCAAAAAAATTTATAAATGACTTGGGTCTGTCGTATGTGAAAATTGATGCATGTCCCAATGATTGCATGATCTATTGGAAAGATACTTCAGATTTGACAGTGTGCTCAGTTTGTGGTAAATCAAGATATAAAATTACCAATGCAAAGGATAGCTCAAGGAAAAAGGTCGCAGCTAAGGTTATGTGGTATTATCCTTTAAAACCACGATTGCAACGATTTTTTATGTCGAAGCATATGGCTAAACATATGAGGTGGCATGCAACTGAATGTCCTAAGGATGAGTTTATGAGACATCCTTCAGATTCTCCAGCATGGAAGCATTTGGATAATTTATATCTGGATTTTGCGTCAGAAATTCGAAATGTCCAATTAGGGTTGGCCAGTGATGGATTTAATCCTTTTTGGAAAATGAGGAATGATCATAGCACATGTCCTGTGGTGCTTTTTATTTATAATTTGCCACCTTGGATGTGCATGAAGCAACCAAATTTGTTGTTGTCTCTGTTAATACCAGGACAGTGCAGTCCTAGTAAAGAGATTGATGTATACATGCGTCCATTGATTAGCGAGCTGAATGAGTTGTGGGAGGTGGGCATTCCCACTTATGATGCGTATTCCAACCAAAGTTTTACGATGAAGGTTGCCGTGTTATGGACTATAAGTGATTTTCCGGCTTATGGAATGTTGTCAGGATGGAGCACACATGGCTATAAAGCTTGTCCACATTGCATGCATGATAAAGAATCTATTTACTTGCCAGCGAGTCGTAAGATTTGTTAGATGGGGCATCGACGTTTTCTTAAAGATAACC